ACCTCTGTACTTGTTTTTATAAAGGAGTTTTCACTCCCACGGAAAACTGTGTTTGAGGGGAGGCGCACAAAACCCATCAGAGCTTCTGTCGCCTCCGCTGGTGGCTGCTGCGTGCCGTCGTTTCTGTTCGGGCAACGGGCACCTCTCTTCGGAGTGTCTCCTCATTGAACGTTTGCTTTGGATCTTTCAAAGATAACGATCCTCGCCGTTTTCTTTTTCCTTGCTAAGTGCTGAAGTAGTCGTACATGTCACCCAAAGATGCCATGAATTTTAAGATGGAGGCCAATTTCAGAGATGTGAGCTATGAAGAAAGAAAATATGGGCCTTGGAATTGATGAAATGGAGTGTGTGCCCTTTTTAAAGACTTGATGAACCATAGGAAAGTATGAAGCAGACAATAAAAATACATCATAGCGTCACAGAGATGATACCATCCACCCTGTTTGGTCTAATTCCTTCCAGTGTTTCTTTCCATATGTGGGAATGTATGTTTATTTCTTTTTAGAAAGTATCAGATAGCATATTTTGTGTCTTGGTTTTCTTCTATATTCTTCTATCTAAAACATCTTTTCTTACTAAGTATTCCTTGAAAACGGGTTACTTAAAAGTGACTGAAATAGTAAGCCCCTACTTTTTGGTCATTTCATTCACTTCCAGTGTTTTGATATCACGCCTCGGGCTCCAGTGAACAGCTTTGCCCGTCCATCTCTGTCCGCACCCGTGATTGTTTCTTCAGGGGAAATGACTAGAACCGGGGTACCTGGGCGAGGGGAGAGGGTGCGGCTGTTTTAAAACCGCACCTAATCTAGCGCCCCTCCTTGGCCTACCTGCCCGACCGCCCTCGGACCCCAGCCGTGCCAGGCCCGCTTGTCAAAGCGGCCGCTTGTGCCAGCAGCCCGTGCTGAGGTCTGGGCACCCCTCGGCCTCCTGGGCCTTCCTCCCGCCCCTCACCCCCTGGGCCCGAGGCCCAGGGGTCACTGGACGGACTCCCCTGCGTCCTGCGGCAGCCTTCTGTAAACTCACCCCGCCACTGCTGTGTCCGGCCCCGTTCCCGGCCCTTTCTGCCTTATGGAGCGCCTTTCCCTAACACTCAGCGTTGAAAGGAGTGTCCCTCTCTCCTGGTATTGCGTGGGCGGTCTCACTGGGGGTCCGGGGGTGGGGCAGGTGGAGGCCCGAGTCTGTGCCGGCATCCTGCCAGGACACTTCCCCTTCCCCCTTTCACTGGCCGTTAGTTCAGCCCTGAAAATGTCCTCAGTCCTGGGTGTCCCTGCCTCTAGGAGAAACAAGGTCGCACATATGAAGATTGAGGGATGAGGACGGACAGGTGAGGGGGAACGAAAAGCTCCAGTGACTGTGTGAAGCCGGGGAGATTGGATTTCAGGATTGGGCTTATTTCGCCCAGGAGCGCCGTCGGCGAGGGCCTTGATTGTCACTTGAAGAAATTCGGGATGCAGTAGCCACGCTGACACAGTGGACCGCACACAACACCAAGGCAGTCAGGGCTGGGGGGAATTCAGAGGGACCGACTGTTGGGGCTCCCTCTGACGCCCTAATGGGGGGGCGGCTACAGTTCAGTGGGGCGCGCATCTGAGGAAGAGAGACCTGAGCATTGAAACCAAGAAAGTCCAGGGCCCGAATGCGTCACCATGGTGCAGATGGAGCCTTTGCCCCACGGCCTTTTGTATATGAAATGAGATTTCATGCCACAGCGGAGCCCTCTTCACCCACGACAGAGCACGCAGCAGTGGTCAGCGAAGGGCGAGAGCTTCTTCCCCTGTGTGTTCTGTGGAATGCGTTCCGCAGGCTCCGGTTCCGCCTGCGCATGGAGTCAGCCAGCTCTTCGCTGTCTCCTGAGATGGCTCTGGCAGATAGACCTTCTTCAGTGTTTTCTTCCTAAAAATTATTAGGAGTCCACTTCTCAAGGTCAGAATGTCTTTAGGACGCACCCTTTGAGAGGTACAACCCATGAAGCCTGAGCCACTGTTATAGACTTTGAGGTTTAGGTAAATTAGAAGCTCTTAAAGGAAAATTACAGGTTCTCTCTGAAAGCCATAAAGGATTAGAGACCGTGGGGAGCAATTGGGAGTTTTTTGATTAGAGAGTCGCCAGGGATGTAAAGAAAGGTACAAGCCCCAAAGCGGTACTTCGAGTGCTGTGTTTGCCACTTGGTCTGCATCAGATCCGCTGCGCTCCAGTGGAACAAAAGCACCGCACGAGTCTGTTCCTTAAGATGACTTCTCCCCTTTATGGCGTCTGTAGATCCTGGTATTTTTATTGATTGACTGATTGAGTTTAGAGAGAGAAAGAGTAAGGGAAGGGGGAGGAGAGAGAGAGAGAGTCTTCTTTTTCCACTTATTTATGCATTCATGGGTTGATTCCTGTATCTGCCCTGGCCAGAGATCAACCCTGCATCCTTGGTGTGTCTGGATGATGCTCTACCCACCTGAGCCACCCGGCCAGGGCTGTGGATCCTAGTATTAATAGCACAGAAGCAGTAAGGCTTTCATTTGGGTAGGTGAGAATGGCCTCTGTGTATCTCTTAGAGATTGTTTCACCCCTTTATGGAAATCTAGGCGGGGAACCTCCTCCAGCCTATGCTTGTTTGTTTGTTTGTTTGACTCTGAAACCAGCATTAGGGAAGCTAGTCTGGATCAACCAGGGGTTTCCGTTGGTGCCCTTCCCCAGAATCCTCAGAGAGGGCCAGCGAGAGGAGAGAGCCGTCGTCCGGCCTTCCTCATCAGGCCTGGAGCCGCACCTCTGGGCCCCAGGCTGCCGAGCCTGGGTCTGCTCTGACCCTCTCCGTTAGCCTTTCCCGTGGTCTTCGCATCTGACTCTGAAACCCCAGGGGTATCGCTGACGTTTTCACTTTATTGCGTTTTCTAATGCTGTTTACCCGACACTCCCGATGTCTTGTGACTTCCTGAACTTGCCATCAGTCGTGCCAGTGCGAACCCCTACGCTGCCCCCAACCTCGCTCCCCCATTCACTTCACTTGCCCAGTCCCCTAGCAGGTCCTGTGGTTTCCCTTTAAACCTTGTGACTCTGGCCGCTGCTCACCATCACCGAGTCCTGTACCGGCTTCCCATCTGGTCTTCCTGCTCCGGACCGGGTTCCCCTTCAGTCCCCGCCCCCTCCCGCCCCACCTCTTTTCTATAAAGCTGCCCCCGTGGTCTGTTTTAAAATGAGATCACATTTTATTCCTGCTTAAGATTTTCTAAAGGCTTCTTGTCGTGTCTAGAATGGCACAGCCGACCGAGACCTCCGTAATCGGTTCAGCTTCCCACGTGCCCCTTGCTCACCACGCTGCCCTTGCACTGGCCTGTCTTCCTCCCCGAGTACAACCAGCCCGTTCCCACGCCTGTGCCTTGGCCCTGGCCCTGTCTCTGCCTAGAATTTTTGAGTACCTGATTTTGTTGGCCTTGGCTCTAATGAGTGACTAAATGATCTGGAAGAGGCTTTTAAGGCTTGCTTTTAATCTGTTAGGCGGAGCTATAGCAGCCTTTTAATCTAAGATGCAGTTAGCACTACTACTAAGGTGAGGCTTTTCCGAAGACTGTATTCATTATCTTGTGTGGTGGGAGCCATTCTGCTGCCGAGAACACGGTGTGTCCCGGCCCCGTGTGAGGTCTGAGATGTGCTCCGCCTGCAGCTTCCCGGTGCTGCCTTTCCTGCCCTTGGGCAGTCCCCACTCACACGTGCCCACGCTGGAAGGAGCCCTTCTGCAGATGTCTGCTTGCCCCTGTGCGCTCTCTCTCTCTCTCTCACTCTCTCTCTCTCGCTCTCTCTCTGTACAGGTTCTTCTATCCCAGTAGTCCGCTGTACACACTCTACTGTCCGCCTCCACAACGCAGCAAGAAGGAAAACCCAACACTGAGTGTTCTGTCTGACTTCCCCCTCTCTACTCTGTGGCTTTGAAACTGTTTGCAGGGAGTGAGTTAGGGCCGTCGGAGGGCTCCCTACATACCATTTCTCTTACCTTTGGACTGTATCTTGCTCTGTTTTCCAGTGTCGGAACTTTCGTTTGCTGCTTTGGGTCTGTTTTGTAGTTTGAGGTCGGAGGACAAACCTTGTCACTCTTCCTCCGGAACGCCCAGGAGTGAGGGTCCTTCAATCGCTGTTTTGCATTTCTTTTCTTATGGTCAGAGGAAACCGTGTAGGTGGTTTTTGCCAACATGTGAAGGGCGTAGTGTCCTTGGCTTCTTAGTGTTAAGTCATTGTCTTTTTTGCTCGTCATTGCTGGAAAACAGCACCATTCAGTTCTCTTCTTTGTAACACGGGAAGTGACGGGCTAAGGGGAGGTGATACCGATTTTGCCTGACACACGGTGTCATTTCTTAGAGTACACAGCAACACGGATGTCCCTCGTGCCTCACATGGTTTTAGGCATGTTCATCGGCAGATGAATTCGCCACCTACTCCATCCTTGGGTTGTCAGGCCATAGGCTTGAATTCTGTTCTGAGAGCCAGAGCTTCGCAAGATGCTGAGTTGGTTGGTTTGCTGCCTGGAAAACTGTTAGGGCAAAACTGATACTTTGGGGAGAGGAGGAGGCAGGTTTTCAGATGAAAGATACTCAACCCCAAATAACATGAAAGGATTTCAGCTTATTCTAAAGGCATGGGTAGAATTAGGTATATCCTAAGAAAGAGAAAGAAGTGCAATCCATCCATTTTTAACTTTGTGGGGAGTAGGTACCATAAGACTACAGGTAAGTAAGGTGAGCATACGTCACGTCTGTGAGGGACAGTCCTGGCATGTGCCTGTTGTCCCGAAATAATACTAATAACGTCCCCTCTCACTCTTGAACGTGGGAAAGGTTTTGTCGGTCATTGAATTCATAGAGAATGATTTTAAGAATAAAATGTAGTTGTTAAGTTTTTGGCCACCGTCATTGTTTTTGGAATGATGGATTTACTTGTTTGCTTTGTATTTTAGTTAAATAGTATAGGGTGACTAAGTGTGTGTGTGGTTTTGTTTTTAATTTTTGGTATTTTTCCCGCAGATGATCTCAATGCCACCCACCAACACTGTGTTTTGGCCGGTTTACCACCTCGGTTTAGTTCCACCCACCGAGTGGCAGAGGTAAGTGTAAATAAAAATGTGATTCAGATTAATTGGATGTGGCAGAAGTGGTTGAATGAGCAATTTATCATAGAACTTTGGAAGAGTATTTGATAGGAAAATTGCTTCCATCTCACTTGACTCCAGTCTCTGTTTACTTGCTTTCTTGGCTTTGAGTTGTGTTGGATAGTTTTTGAAAGTGTACTCACAGCGTGGGATAAGTATATTTTGCTTATTTGGGTTTATGTTTCTTGGAGAAGGTAAGTGCCCTTGGCAGGTGTTGCTAGTTAGAGACTTTCTAAGGGGTTTGTATCTGTCAAGGTCAAAGGCAGGAGATGGCCAGAAGGAAATGGGGTGGATTTGTGTGCGCGTGCATGTGTTAGCTGTGATTGGGCTCAGATGGTTGAGAGTTTACATTGCCCTTAATTTTTTGGTCAGGCTTCTGGGCATGTGAATGTAAATGAAGGAGAGAGTTACGGCAGAGCCAAAGAATTTCCAAGCTCCCCAGTTCTGTTTGCAACGCAGACTTTATTGCGAAATTCTGCCACCACTTGGAGTGGCTGACGGTCAGATGACTGGACTAGCTCGGTACAGGACCGTAAGCGGCGAGGAAAACCCTTTGTAGTCAGGCCGGGGTGCTGTGCGTGTCGTTAGGAAGGGTGCCAGAGGGCAGAGGAATAATCACAGAGAGGATTACAGGCCGACCTCTTTCCAAGCTTGTTATATGCGCTTTGCTTTGCTTTGCTTTGTAGTTTGACTTTGCATCGTGCCGCGATGGGAGAGCACAGGGCAGAAAAGAAGGGATGCAGCTAAGTGGCAGGGAATGCGGGACCTTTTCAGTGCCGAGACCATGAGTCTGCCGGGCAGTGTCGTACCTTTTGGGAATTAGGCAGCTTTTCTGGTGGCCTGGTCGTGTGGCTGTGCATGGCGTGCATTTCAGTCAAGCTGCCAGCGAGCCCATCAAGCACCCCTTCCTCCTTTCTCCTCGCCTTCCTGTCTTCTCTCTTCCGTTCCCTCACCCACCCGAGTGTCTGAGTGCCTGTTGTGTGTCCAGCAGCACCATGGGCTCGGGAGATGCAGCCATCAACGCAAATAACCGCTACGGCCACTCCTTGTGTTGAACTTCCATTTCAGTTGGGGAGACACATATTAAACAAATAAATGTGGGAACATTATTGTAAAGACCTAAAAATTAGTTCCGTTAGAAGTCAGGAGGGAAGGAAGGAGTGAAGGGAAGAAAAGAGTGAGTGAGCATTTTACAGATTATATTTAACCCGTGCTTTGTGTTATATAAAAAAGACTTCCCTTTTACGTGAGATGTTCTAGGCATCTGTTTTTCTAGCCATAATCCGCTTAAGAATCCTTTTCTTCTGGATCCATTGGAGTGGTGGGTGGCTGCTAAAGTGCATCCTTCTTGCATCTTTTAAAATGTAATCTGGAAGAGGAGACAAGCTTAAGTTAAGGAGTGTAGGCCGAGCTGTGAGGGTGTCGGGTGACGGGCACGGAAAGGGGACCAATGGGAACAGTCCTAGGCGGAGGCCCAGCTGACATGGAAGCTGCTTATCCTCTGGATTTCTGGTTCTCTCTGCAGTGCTCGACCGGGACCTTGGACTACATCCTGCAGCGCTGCCAGTTGGCTCTGCAGAATGTCCGTGATGGCGCAGGCAGTGGTGATATTTCTTTGAAGTCCCTGGAGCCCGCAGTTTTGAAACAAGGAGAAGAAATCCACAATGAGGTAAGGATTTCGAAGAACTGGGAAGGGTCTGAGATCCCATCCTACTGGCAAACTTGCAAGTGAACCTGCCATAGTTTCCTGTAAGACATGCAACTCCCAGAGACAAAGGACAGTGTATTACTCCCAACAGTAGCAGGAGCCAGAGTATCAGAACTTCTGCGTCAGGTCTCCAAGCCTCTGTTTCCACAGGGCAATGCCAAGGGGGCCAGAGAGGAAGTGCACACGGAGGGGTTGCATTATGGGAGAGAAACCCAAGCTAAGGGAACCCAAATCTTTTATAGTAGGCAGTCCGCCTGCCTGTCCTTTGCTCCAAAGCGAGACACTGTCTTCATCCTCCCAGTCTGTTAGCAAATCTGCCTTTTGTTCTGGAGGGAGGAACCGTACCTTCCAAGGCTGCTCACAGGACAAACATCCTTGCAGGGAGAGTATGAAACAGGACAGTCACATCCTTGCCTTCAGTGCAGGAATACAAGAGACCCGCGTAGAGCAGCCTCCCGGCAGATCTGATGTGTGCCCGCTGAGGGTGCACCTGGGAGCAGGCGTCAGGGCCTCGCTTTCGTGTATTAGCGCCAGTGCTGCGCGGTCTGGGAGACCAGGGGTCTGGACCCCGGGAGTCGGTTTCACAGACTCTGCTGTCCTCATCAATATCCTTTCCATCGTTCTTTGTCTTTGGGCCACATAGACTCTATTTTTTAAAAATCTATTGAATACATTTAAAAAATCAACTTAGTTTTCATGTAAATAAGTCTCTTTAAGAAGGAAGCTTTATATTACCACTGCGAGTGGAAAAGCAGGATCACTAGCCAAGAGAAAACGTAAGCAGAAGAATGCAGCCAGTGAGAACAGAGCAGTGTTATTCCAGCCGCCGGTCTTGCCAGCGGGGGCCGTGAGCCCAACGTCTCCATTCTTTATGTTGAGGAGGGAAGTTAGGGCACAGATTCATAAATTTTCTAAAAGTCATTGAGTTCTGCACATAAATTGGCTGCATTTTATGGTGGGTCCATTATACCTAAAAAAAAAAAAAACACAACGATTAAAAGGAGAAAAGAGCTTACCAAGTGGTAGAATTATTGATGATCATTGCCAGCCTGAGACTTTCTCTTCGGCGTCATTGGAAGAATGGACAGGGAATTTGGAATGTAGACGTGTTCTCACTCAGTTTTTCAATTAAATCATTACCAAACATGCGCCAGGCACTCTTCTGGGTGCTCGAGGATGTGTTGGTAAAGAAAATAGACATTCTGGTGCAGGGAGGTGACAAATATTAAGCACACTGGTTAATTATCTAGCATGTTAGAGGTTTGTAAGTGCTGCATACAAGAAAAACAACAACAGCGTGATGATGGAGATCGGGAGAAGCAGGGACCGTCCCACTGAGACGGGGCCCTTTGAGCAGGGGCTTGGAGGAAGGGAGGGAGCGAGCCTGGTGGCGCTCTGAGGACCAGCGTTCGGGCAGAGGGACATTCCGGCGTGGACACTGTGTCCATGATTGGTTCAGGGAGAGTGTGACCGCAGGGGTGGGGGTGAGGCTGGGAGTTATAGGAGGTGAGGTCACAGAGACGGCACCTGCAAGGTGTGAAGGCCCCTGGGAAGGACGAGGACTTCCCTTTCTACCCTGTGGGCGGTGGGGGGACATTAAGGGATTTTGAACAGAGGAGACGCAATGTAATATGGAAACATTGCCTCATTTCGAAGACCCAACAGCAAAGGAGTTCTGCCTTTCAGGGAAGTACGAACTGGCTCTGCTGCTGGGCCGAGCCCGGGGCTGGCGTTCTGCCCTTCACGGTGCCTGACCAGTCCTCCCTGTCCCAGCCACAGACACGGCTGACGGCCAGCGCTGTGGGAAGGGTGAGCGTGCACGGACCTGGCGACCTCACCGAGCTGGGCTGGGGAGCAGAGTCAGGTCTTTCTCCACTTTGAGGGTGAAGAAGTTCTCCTCCACAGGTCCCGTTATGTCCTTCCCTGACAGCCCTGCGGTGTTAGGGGTCAGGCTGGGACGCGCTCACTCACACGCACGTGGACTCCTCTCTTCCCCGTCCTTCCTGCTCTTGGTCAGCGACTAGGACGTTTTGTGGTTGTTGTTGTGGGGGGTGAGGGGTGGGGAAACCTGTAAAACCACACTGCGCTTGTCTATTTGGTTGGCGAAAAAGTCCATATGTTTTTTTTTCCCATAAAATAAAAGACACATTTTTCATTTTCACCAATAACTCTCAGTTTGGATATTTTGAGTATGTTGCCCTCTCTCAAATAGCACGTTGGTTATTCTCAATTAATGTCTGGATGTGATCACTATCGACTTCAGCTGGTCTGCCCGACCTCGGGGCATCGTGCGGCGAGACCTGTCCAGCACGAAACCTCGTAAACCACCTTTGACATGTTCGGTCAGTCACAGTGCCTTGTCCACACACCGCACACATTTTTTTTGGCGTTTCAGTTGCGTTTTTACCTTTCTTGAAATAATAAAGCATATGCCAAACATGCTGCATATTTTCTTCCACCTTCAATGTTAAAATGGCTACACAAAAATTCACCAATTTTGATGTTTTTTTTAAAATGCATGCTGATGTGACGGCTGTCACAATATATAATCTAACAAAATGGTTTCAAATGAAGTTAAATCAACTAAGTGCTGCTAGAGCCATCTTACAGAAAAAAAAAAAAAAGAAACAAACCGATTGGCCAACCTGGTTGAATGTTATCATCGGACCCCATCGGCTTCAGAGCACCTGGCTGTTTCCCACATTGTATGTGTCCGCATGGTGGGGTGGACATTGTATGTGTCCGAAACCCTGGTCCTCTGCGGCTAGCCCGCGATTGGATGGAGAGAGAGAACCTGGGTCTAAACGGCGTGCGTTCCAGTCCTCTCCATCCCGCAGCCTTTGATTCTTCCAGGACATCTCCGTACTTGAGAATTAAACCCATATGTCAGGGCGCATCGTCACGCACGGTTCTTTTGCCGTCCCGCTTGGCTTGGGATCAAGCGCTTGCAGGGGTAGTCTCCACTGTGCCCGATTGTCGAAGCACGAATGTCCGTCATGGTTACCCCGGGTCCTTGTCGTTTGCCTTCCCCTCTCTCAGAGGCCATGTGCCTTTGCTAGACTGATTACAGGGCGAAGTCCCTGGTTTTATAAGCTACAGGCTGGCAGGCAGTGTGGGTTTAGAAGTGGCTTGTTTTCCTTGTCTTAGATGGTTTCTAAGTAAGCAATTTGGGAACTTGGGGCTTGGAACGGAATCCACAAGAAGCTATTTTTTTTCTAATTGAAGACGTTTAGAAAAGATTTTTGTTATTGGAAGGACCTCCCTCTGTGTTCTTGAATAGGTTGTTTTCCTTCTTAAACCACGTAAAACGTGGACTCCAGTCTCGCTAACTAGCAGATTTCCCCTGGGAGCACGTGCTGTGTAAGGACACCCTCTGGCTCTCACTTTGTCCCGGTCGGAGCTCTTGCGAAAGGGACCTCGAAGGGTGGCTCTTCGTAGGTCCGACCTTCGCGTCTCTCCCGGTCTACAGTCCTTCTCAGTTACTACGCTGAGACGTGGACCCCTCTGGCGATGTTCACACGTCTCGTGAAGGAGCTCGATGGCTTGGCCTGGGATCCAATCAGGAGCCCAGACTGACTGGGAGAGGAGCAAGTAGGTGCCATTCGCTTCCCTGTGAGAGTAACGGAGACGACTATATGGTGATGGAGCAGCTCGGAAATAGGGTTCCGGGGTAAGCTTCACTCTCCTGATGCCTCAGTGTCCAGTGACCAAGAAGATTCTCACAGGCGGGTGGCTTCTGTTTCCACCTTCCCTTCGGACTTTCGCTAGCCATTTCTGGGACGAAAGCTTTTCCTGATTGATCTTTTCTTTCTTCTTCTTCCTTTTTTTCCCTTCTCTTTTGCAGAGGAGGCAGGCGCAGATTAGTTAAGAGGTTACAGAGATTTCACTTGAGTCGCAGCTGTGACACTGACGCTGTTATGAACGTGTGTTCATTTTCCCCCGATGACTCAGAGGCCCTTCCGGGATCCTGCAGGGCCCTCCGAGTTGTCGCCTTACCTTCTGGTACCTGCGGGCGTGACCCTGAATTTTCGTCGTGTGCGAGACGGCCATCAGGGATTTAGGCCACGAGTGTCGTGAACTCTGAGCTGTGGTCTCCCTGTTGCTCACATCTCGGGGGTCGGTGTGTGTGTGGGGGGGGGTCAGCTGCTCCGCTCCTGAAGGCTTGTCTCTGATTTCTGCTCTGGTCTCTGCGAGCCATCCAGAGGGACTACGGTGAAGGGATCAAGTCCCTCCTCCTGTCACAACCGGAGCCTCAGCTGCCCGTCGGGCTGGTTAGACAGGTTCTTTTGCCCTGAAGGAAGGTTCTGCTGTGTGCTAAGTCCCCACCCTTTGGTTTTTGTGCGGTGTTCACCCCTCCATAGTTTTCCTGTCTCACCCCTAGAGTGTGTGGGGGGGGGGTCCAGCACTTTTTGAGTGGCGAGTAAGTCTAACCCTGCACCAAGAAATTGGATTTTTTTTGCCTCCTTAATTAAATTGAAGAAAGGAGCCAAGTACTCCTCTTGGCACTGGGGGACCTGAGAAGGGTGGCATTTGATTACAATCCTGTAACATTTTTGTCCACAACATTGAAAGGACAAAGCCAGGCTGCGGAGCGCAGTGGCATGCATGCCTGTGAGTCTGAGGCCCGCAAAGATTGTGTCTCATGGACAATGCTTTGACTCAAGGAAAAAACTCTGTTGGGAGTCAGTGCTCAGCATTGAACGTTCCTGACTGGCTTCATCGGAAGGGGGTTGGGCGTGAACTGGTGTGGACATTAGACATTTTCCTGCTCAGAAAATATGACGGGAAGATCCTTGAAGACAGAAAGTTCCAGGCCTCGTGACCTTGTTCAACTCCTAGTCTTAGCCTCTAGCATTATTATTATTAATCCACGTAATACTAATTATCTACCCACTTAAGGGAGGCTTCCTTGCCGCAAACCTCTGTGGTTATTATATCGCTGTCTTTGTTTCACAGATGGCATGGCTGTTCAGAACTGGTGAAGCCCAGTTCTGAACTGACCCCAGAGCCCTCACGCTTAACGGTGACATTCTTTGGCCTGCAAAGATAGTCGCACCACTGCGCAGGAAGATGAAATCATTATTCACTAAAAAGGACTGGGTCTCTGCCGTCTTGTCGGATAGCTGTCCCCTGGCTTCTGAGTTTGAACTCACTGGAATCCAGACTCTCCGGGACCCTGATGGGTGGAATGAAGTAATTACGTAGGATCATCTACTTTATTTTCAGGGATACCATGGTTGCCAAGACTTTATGTTTTGGCCTCATTCATGGAAATAAACAGCGCAAAGATACAGACAACTTTAAAAAATCTTTTCAACTTTCCCTAACATAGGGCTTGGTGCTTTGCTGCTGACAGTTTATTCCTGTAGTGTGAACCAATTTCATGTCACGCCTATTAAACAGAACTCTTTATTTTTCCATGTAAGAAATGATGTTGTTAATCCTGTACCTTCAGAGAAGTTGAACTGTACACACTTGTTTTTATTCCACTTTCAAAGCAGCCAAGCTCACTTCTGTTAACCACTGTCTTTTCTGTCACAGGTAAGGCTTAGCAACCATTGTCTTGGTATTGTCTACACTCCTTTTGTGTTGTTGTTTAAACAACTTTAACCGAAATCACTTCTCCATATCAAACATCTAGCTAATGTAAACTAAAACCCTTTCATATGAGTTGGTGTTCTCGGGTTAGTTATTTGAGTCATTTTCACCATTGTTAAGTCTTCACAAGTTGCTTTTGTTTGCTTCGTGAAAGTTCAACACGGATAAACAAACGAAAAAATTCTCTGTGGTAGCAGGTGAAGATTGTAATGGCTAGGTGCCTGTGTGTGCAGCACGATTACATTAGCCAAGCCCGATGACCCGCCGTTAAGCCGTGAAAGCTCTGTTTCTTGAGAGGGCAGAGGTACAAAGTGTTTGGGGATGAATGGAGTCGTGCTTTGATGGTAAAATCTGATTTTCCAGTTAAGATGAGTGATAGGAGCCTTGGAAAATAAGAAAGAATTTCTTATCTTCTCAAAGCTTTCTTGAACCTCTCATGTACCTATATGGGGATCATTTCATTTGCAGGAGACAAAAAAACAACAACACAAAATCACCACCTGAACTGGTTTAAACAAAAAGGGCTTCAGGAATAGCTTGATCAAGAGTCAGTTGATGTTACCAGGACCCGGTTTTGATCAGTTCCTCTTGCAGCTGCTTCCTTGATTTTTTTCCATTCTGCCGAATTGGTTGCAGAATCCACTTCCTGTTAACTTCTGATAGTTTACAGTCTCCAGACTTATTCTGATGGAACACAGACAGTCCTATTTCCCCAAAATCCAGTTCTGTGGACTAAAGAAACGTGGTGGGCTGACCCCCGGTATCAGAGCCAGAGCTCCGCCCGGACCATGTGGACTGAGACTCGGAAGGGGGTGGGTTACCGAACAAATAGTGGGGTTTGGCTTGAATAGAAGGAGGAGTGCTACGGAGGCGAATAAGAGCAATGTACTACAGCAGCTTCCTAGGAAGGAAAAGAAATCGTTTGTTTTTGCTGCTCTCCTTAGGAGAGGGCCTGCGGCCACTGCCCTAAGTTGAAAATGGACGGTTTGAACGGCTCTGCAGGATTAACGGATACACGCGTGCACGGTTAACTTTGGGCCGTTCAGTCGTATGGGTCGGCACTATCACCAGCTCCCCCGACCCATGGGCACAGTCTTCATTTCAAATCTAAGACGCTTAATGTCAGTATCTCCTAACATGCGTCCGAATTTGGCTCTTCATGCTAATCTTTACTAAAGATATGTAATAAAAACATACTTTGTCTGATTATACCTTTCCCACTGTGGGCAGCTGTATACTTTAGGATCCCAGTACTTGCTGGTGATTGACTGACAGCTTCCTCACGTCTGACCGAGAAACGTGGCTGAAAACCCCTCCCAGCCCGCGCTGGGTGGTCTCACGGCGCGTTAAGTCTGCTCTCTCCCTGGCTCCGCAGAAATTCTCCGGGCACCCCAGGTCATGGTGGGAACTGGGTGGGCTGAGCCTTTCCCACCTTTTCTCATCCCAGGGCTGTGAAGTCCCTGGGGGAGAATCGAGGGACAAAGTCATTGTCCTCGGGCGCCCGTCACAAGGGCTTTGTAACCACGGCCTGGTCTTTGCGGCCCACAGGTGGAGTTCGAGTGGCTGAGACAGTTTTGGTTCCAAGGCAACCGCTACAGCAAGTGCACCGACTGGTGGTGCCAGCCCATGGCGCAGCTGGAGGAGATGTGGAGGAAGATGGAGGACGTGGTAAGTCCGCGGGGTGCGCGAGCAGCTCCCGGGACGGGGCGCTGTGCGCATTCTCCGCCGCCTCATTTGCACGGGAGAACACGTGCTCAGCTATTCTACATTACCGAGTTAGGTTGCTGTCGGTAAGGTCCCCGAACAGGCAGGATTTCGTCGGCGCAGCCTCGGTTCAGCTGGAGGAATATTTTTTGAACATTTCCTACGCGTCAGGCGCTGTGTGAGACGCTCCGGGAAATAACCACGAGGGGGGAACGATGTAAGAATGACACCTAACGTTTATTTGCCTTTTCACACGCACCGGGCATTGTTCTAAGGGGGTTCCCTCAAGTAACTTTCCAAATTCTTACACCCGTCCCACGAGCCGCAGAAACAGGGTGCGCCTTCATTTGTAGGTGTAAGAACCGAGGCCCAGAGGAGCGAGTGTGTCACCCACGGCCCCCCAGGGAGTGGCATCGTGGGGCTGTGAGCGGCGGGCTGGCTCTGTAGCTTGTGATATACCCGCGACCCTCGGTTTAACCAGGAGGGGACTTAGGGATACCCAGGTGTCACACTGGTGCCCACGGAACCTGGCGACAGAGATTTTTGGAAAAGCACAGTCCAGCGGAGGGGTATCAGCTTCCGACCCCTGGAGCTGGCACTGCTGCGGAATGGCAGGTGTGGCTTCTGGGGACCTGGGGTGCGGAGGAGTCAGGCCGCAGGGGGGGCATCTGGAAAGGAGTGTAGGTCCCGGGAACTGTGTAAACAAGGTCAGAAGTGGGGGTGTCGAGAGAGACGAGGACTTCAGGGGGCGTGGCAGGGAATCCAGCCACTGGAAGGCGAGTGGAGGCCCCCGTGGAAGACTTGAATTAGGTCTTAATGGAACTCAGAGAAATAATAGCAAATACTTACACAATACTAAGTGCCAGGCACGATTCTCAATGCTTTAAACATAACTTATTTAACTTTTATGACGAGCCCATAACGTAGGTGCTATTTTTTCCCATCTTGCGAACAAGGATGTTGAAACACAAAAGGTCTACATCGCCTCCCCGAGGTCAGTGACTCCAGGTGGGGGAGCCGGGATTAGAACTCAGGATGGTGGCTCTAGCTAGGGTCACGCCCTCCACTGCCTCACTGTCCCTCCTCCACACGGTTGAACCTGGAGGGCCCTGGGAAAGTGATAAATGCCCGCAAAACTCTGGAGACGGTGTCGCTGCGGAGTCTTCTGCAGAACCGGGTTAGCTCTTGCCGATCCCCAGTGTATCATAATGAGAAAACATCGAGTCACCGCCCCGGAGGGGCCCCGGTTGGCCAGTCTGGGTCAGGTCCAGCAGTCCCTGCTTTCCCGACGGCTCCCCAGGTCTGTAAACCTTGCCCCTTCATGGGTATGTGTCTGAGGAAGCAGTGCTGTACCCCTTCTTTCAGAATCCTGAAAGGATCCCCCAGACGGAGTGCTCCGGGCCTGAGCACCCTGACCCCGAGCGGGAGGCGGCGGAGAGCGGGTGCCTGAGCCGCCTCCGTCAGTCTTGGCCCTCCCACCGGCCTGCGCCGAGTGCGCTCGGGGTTCATGGGGCATGCAGGGAAGGGCAGCCTCAGTTTCAGGCCGTGGACTTTCTCCCTCTGGCTCCGTCCCTTTACACCCGAGTCCGAACGCCTTTCTTCGCCAAACCTGGACTGGAAGACCTGGGCTTGACCTTGGGGTTGTCATCTGGCAAGTCTGTGCGTTAGAATCGGCAGACAGATGAGAAAGGAACTCACGGATTTTGTTAAAAATGTTTTTCCATTGCTTTTTCTCAAGCTTTTTCTTTTTTTTTTTTTTAAAGTGAAACCTTTGGTGTTGGGAGCTTACCAAAGGTTTTGATGTTGGTTGTGAATTCATGTAAGAGTCATAATGCTTTTTAAAACTTTGGTGGCGATGGCCCCTGCGGTAGAATATCTTCTCTTTATAACGCTTGTGTAAAAAATTCCGACAAGGAAGAGCGGTCTTGGGAACCGTCCAGAGCGAGCTGGCTGGCAGGCGGTGTGGCCTTACCCAGTGTTCGCAGAGCCATGAATGGCCGCAGTGTCTCGCAGCAAACCTCCGGACGATCGTTATCAGCAGAGGGAAGGTCTGGGCCGAGATAAAAGGGATAGCACTTCTAAATTAAATTTAAGCATTGCTTCCAGCCTCTTTTAATGACTTTGAACGAATACATCATCATTTATTTGTGGGATTGGAGGAGACAAAGAGAAGGATCCTTGGTTTGGGTGCGGGGGGGCCCCGGCTGGTTCAGTTCCCGCTTTGTCCCAAGCCCACCTCCTTGTTTTTTCAGTTGCGATCAGTAGGGGGCAATGTTGAGCTGCCAGTTGGAGGCCCCCAGATGCTCGCCTTTGAGGAAAATACAGACAAATCTACCATTAACTGTCAAGAATTATCCCTGTTGCTTCAAGTTAGCTGTAATCTCCAAGATTCCATAACACAGGAAATCAGTTGTGGGTTAACAAATTCAACAGCAATTTAACATAAAAAGTGCAGAGTTTGGTGCACATTTGGATTCTATAGAATTAGACTAATCTAAACGGCATTTCTGAACGCACGCACTTTGCTTCCAGGGGACTGTATTACTCAAAATTATTATCCTTTAAGACAAATGATTCTTCTTTATCTTTATGCTTTTTTTCCCCCCAACTTGCAAAATCACGTGTGTGTTGTGGAAAGACTTCTCTAATTAATGTCTTTTGTCTGTTCTGCAACATAGCATCGATCTCTTCTGGCGGGGAAATAAAACAGAAAACCTCGGGCCATCTGTGCATTGCTTTCCCCCTTCGGCTCACGGGTAAAGCAGCTCCTGACAGCCCTCGCACCAGCGGAGCGACTGGCGTGGTTTCTCTCGGTCTCTGTGCTCTTTCCTTCCCTTTGGGGTTGGAAGGGGCAGTCTCGGGTAGGATGGAGAAGAATGGGAGGAGAGCTTTGAAATGGCGTTTCTGACAGTCACGGTAATCACCCCACATGTCATCACAAGTCGCACCCTTCGGGACGTTGAGTCAGCCGTCTCCAAAACTCCCCTGGCCTCTGTCGCCCATCTGCCCATCCGCCCATCCGTCCATCCTCGGGTCTAGGAGCACGTTTTTATGGGGCTGTGTGTCCCGGCCATTCCCGTCCCCGAGGGTAGTTTTACTCTGCGCGCACTCTTGTGATGTAAATGCGAAGTCTCTTCCGATTTGAATGACATTCCGATAAAATACCACATTTCCCTTGAATATTTATCACAAATTAAATCCAAAGCAACGTCACAGCTCTCTGTAACCCAGGAATTTAGCCTAACCTTTTCTCTCACTCTGCTGCCTATTCAAGAAGGTGTTGTATACCGCTGGAACACCATTCACGTATTTGTGTTTTATTTTATTTTACGTTTTAAACCACCCCACCACCACGCCACCAGAGTCCTCTGGAAGAGAGAGCGTTACCATTTGAAAGAGGCTGCACAAGCTGGGCGTTCTGGGTAAAGAGGAAGATGAAAAGCCGGGTCTCCTGTGAGGCGTGGAGGTCTGGCTGCAGCCAGAGATGCAACGGATAGGCCCCCCGTCTCCCAGGGTCTGGTCTCGCGCGCCGCAAAACTGACATTTATTTTACCTATAAAACGTTTTAACACGATCACATTCGCAGCAACACAGAAAAGAATGCATGCTGCGGTGTCCTTTAAACTGATGACATTTATTCCCTTCCCTTTGACCTTAAAGAAAAAAGAGCTTAATTTGGTGCAATCCAACAGAAATATTCTTAGAAGGGTTCCCAGAACGAATGAGCATTTTTGGGAGTGCGGAGGACTTCCAGACTGGAAAGAAATATCCTCATGCCTTTTTCGTTGCTTTTTATCTTTTGGAGGAGAAGAGGAGCTCCCCGTGGCTTTGACTTGCGTGTCCTGTCCTGACAGTTTCTCAGCCGGGCCGGGAGAGCGGTGCCTTCCTGTGGCCCTGGGCTTTACTGCCCTGCATTGACTTCAGCGCGTAGGAGCCGAGACTGGATTGTTTTTCATGCATCCGCTCTGGAAGCAGTGTAGAACACGGCATGTAATTACGTGGGGCGAGCCTTCGGCTACATCGAACGTTACCCAGGCACGCTGAAGTTTGACACGCCAGAGCAGGAGCTGTGGAGAGTGAGTGGGTGTTTTGTTTTAGGATCGCGCCCCGTTTCTCGTTCCTAAAGTGTTGAGAGAGAAAGGTGCTGACGAACGTGAAGGTCGTCCTCTACGAGTCAGCTGGAAGAGCCTCCTTCCAAGATGAGTCATGCCTTTGTCCTCCTTGCCTTTCTGGCCGGCGTGCACCTCCTGGGAAGTCCCTCGCCTGGAGCTGGCCCTCCACAGTCGGGCCGAGCCCCTCTTGGCGTGGGTCGCCCAGTCGCAGGGAAGGGCTCCCGCCTGTTTGTGTTTGGGGAGATTAATGAGGCTCCCATCACAGAGCTTTAGATCGGAATCTCTGTCACTGAGCAGAGGAGCAAGGCTGCTGTTTCGTACGTGGAAACACGTGCGGAGAATGCTGGCCTTTGCTTTCGTGGTGCAGTCCAGTGAGTCAAGTTCATCTGAAACTTTCTGTTAGGATTCGAGATTTGAGGGGAGGGGAATGAGGATGAAAGTGGATAAATGAATATTAACTTTTTGTCCGTATTGATGGTGAATGCACCCACTTATATATAAATATATGTGTGTGTGTATTTATGTGTATTCCCCATTAGTGTTAATGTATATGTCAAATTATACCTGCTAACACACTCCTGTCTTCCATTCTCCAGAGTTAGCATCTCTGATATTGGAGCAGGAATGCATTACAGTAATTTAGGATCTGGTGTGAGCTGTCCAGTGGCTTTAAATTAAAATTTAAATTCCCTTCTCCCTTTTTTGACTGGGGCAGTGCTGAGTGGCTCAGGATACGCACAGATTTGAAGGCATGTCACAAGCACCCAATAACTCAAACTATGTTCGCAGACACTGAGTTTGGGGGCTGCTATGTTTAGCTTTGGAAATTTGGAAAAAAAGGTGGGGTGGGAA